CTCCCCTCACTGATAAGTTGCCCAGCTGGAAATATCTCTTGGGGCATTGGGGAAGCCAATCCGGCTCACCTGCCAAACTGATAAAGCTGGCTTCAGGCACACTGGGAGTTTTCTCCGCAGCATGGTGATGTTTCTTTCAGGTAATCTGTGGCTGGGGCCCTCAGGCTCCTGTGAAGAGGCACCATCAGCCTCATCACACCTTGCATGCTCACACTCCTCTCCTACCTCTATATAATCAACTTCCTTCTCCTAAAAGTGCACTCATGGGAAAGTAGGAGTAAGGCTTTTTCCACTTGTGCATCCTACTTTATGGTGGTGTCCTTATTCTATATTCCAGTGCTTAGTAGGGGTCTGCAAAATGGGCTGTATTTGATTTGGATTCAGCCCAAATTGGGGATAATGATTTGATTAATTGATTCAGATCACTGTCCCCAATTCAATTCAGCTGAAGATTTGATGCTGATTCAGAGAATCAGCGATTTGGCCACAGACACAGCTTTAAATGTTTTTTCTACATACCTCAAGGTACCAGGCATGGCTTGTGAATGCTACAATGGTGGGGTGGATGGAGCGTCCTACAGGAACATGGGGTGGGGAGGGGGGAGGCCCGCGTGCTCGGTGGCGAACCCAGAAGTGGACCGGAAGTACTTCTGACCCACTTCTGGGTCTGCCAATGGGTGTGCAGGGGATCCCCCTGCCCCTCCCCTGGCTCAGCAATTAGGCATGGGGGGACCCTGGGTGCCCCTCCAGACCCAGGAGGCACCAGTCGCTGAGTTGGGGTGCACCCCCCACCCCCCGCACACTCCCCAGTGGACCTGGAAGTTGACTGGAAGTGTTTCTGGTCCGCTTCTAGGTTTGCTGCTGAGCACGCTCCTGTGGAATGCTCCCCCTGTGCAGGATCCCCCCCGTGCTCCTGTGGGATGCTCCATCCACCCCACCATCGCAGCATTCATGAGCTGCCTGGTACCTTGAGGTATGTAGAAAAAAACATTTAAAGCTGTGTCTATGTCTGAATTGTCAAATCTTTCCAAATCTTCCTGAATCAATTTGCAGGGTTCCGATTCAATTTGGAGAGATTAAAGGGTCTCCTGATTTGATTCTGAGATTTGGCCACCAAATTGGGCCGAATCTCCGCCAAATCGAATCAGAGATTGAAGCTTCATACAGCCCTAGTGTTTAGCTTGTTTGTAGTTCAGGAACTAAGAAACCTTTGATTCGTTGGTTCGGATCACTTGGGAAATAATAAATGTATGAAAAATTCCATTGACATGTATAGAAATGTACACAATGGGAAAATGTATCTGAATGATCTGGTATTTGAATGAGAGCAACAATTTGGTGTGTAATGCAAGATCCAGAATACCACCTAGGTATTACCAATTTTTCTTTTACTCCAAAACTGTGTTGAGTTGGAACAGTGAACAGGGTTCAATATTTATTTGTATTACTAATGAGAGACCAGTTCACTAGAAAAACTCACAGAGAGAACACTTAGAGTTTAAAAAAAGTCTTGTTTAATAACAGAGCTGCTCATTAAAATGTGCTTGATTTGTCTAGCTGCTCCATGTGCTCACCCTGTTTTGCCAAAAACATTTCCCAAAGCCCTTTTCACTTCTTGGTTTCTCAGGCTGTATATGACAGGATTCAGCATGGGTGTTAAAATGCTGTAAATCATGGAGATGCACTTGTCCTGATCCTCTGAGTTCTGTGTGGTGGGTTTCAGGTACCTAAATAAAATTGGTCCATAATACAGGATAACTACTGTCAAATGGGAAGAGCAAGTCGAGAAAGCTTTGCGTTTTCCTTCCACTGACTGAAGTCTCAAGATGGTAGAGATGATACAAACATAAGAACTCAGTGTGATGAGAAAAGCCCCTCCCCACAGTGATATACCAACAGTGAAAATCACCATCTTATTGGTAAAGGGGTCACTGCATGAGAGCTTGAACAGCTGGGGGAGCTCACAGCTGAAGTGGTTAATTATACTAGGCCCACAGAATTGTAAGTCCATCGTAAGTAGAGTGTTCAGCAAGGAATAGAAAAACCCAGTTATCCATGCACTACATGTCAGCTGGACATGAACCCAATTTTTCATGACTGCAGCATAATGCAAAGGTTGGCATATGGCTATATACCGATCATAAGCCATTGCTGTAAGTATTAACCCCTCAGCTGTAGCAAAGAAAACAAAGAAGAACACTTGTGTGATGCAGCCACTGAATGAAATAGTCTTTCTCTCCACCAAGAAGGTCTGCAACATCTTTGGGATTGTGACTGAGGAATAACAGATATCAATAAAAGATAAATTTCCCAAGAAGAAGTACATAGGAGTGTGTAGGTGTGGGTCAGCCTGTATCACCAGCATGATAACTATGTTCCCCAGGAGGGTGATGATATAAATAGCTAAAACCATCAAAAAGAGGAGAACCTGCATATGTGAAGAAGTGGAGAATCCTAGGAGAATAAACTCACTCACTGTGGTTTGATTAACCATCACCACTGTTTCATAAGTTCTTTATTCTGCAAGTGAAAAAAACAAGCTAGAAACATTTTCCTTTTTCAATGTGTGTAGTGAAAATGTTGCTTTTATTGCTATTGCTATTCTTATTGTTATTACTGTTGTTGTTATTACTGACGATGATGGTAACTAATGCTTCTTTTAATTTGTGTTTAAGATGTTCCATATCAGAAAATATAATGGCTCATAATCTGGTAAAAATAATATACTACATGATAAATAATGCTGTTCATTCAGTAGAACAATTTCAGATTCACACCAATATTTTTAGAGCCACATGGGACCCACTTATGTGTTTCTTCAAGTTCAGATGCAGCCCCAAATGAACTAAATTAGGAAGTTTCTAACTTTCTATGTTATAGTCCAACATTATTAAGATAGCAAACATTGGAGGTATCCACCATTTAATTCTGAGGCTCTTCCTATGATATAGTTGACTAGTTCATTTCAGATGTCAAAAGTTTCTCTCTCTCTCTAAAAACTCCTGTTGTGACTATCGTTGACTACAAATAATTATGTTATGTTTGTTTCTCTTGATTTTTTTTAATTGAAATTATCCATGGAAACAATGGCCAGTGCATTAAAAAACAAAACACTTGAAAACTGAAAGGGTGTGTGCATGTGTGTGTGTGTGTGTGGATTTACTCAAATCCCAGATAAGTACTCCCCATCACTATGAGGGGAAAAAGCCTTATCTTGGATTCAAGTACTGGCCTGGGGCAGGCTGTGGCTCAGCTCCAGATTTGGGATTAATTGTTTGGCAGGGGAGGGGGCTTGCAGTCAAGGAAGTGTGGGAGAGACCATGCGGTGGGGGAGTTGGGGGAGGAGGCAAGAGCAGCAGGGAACAGATGGGCACATGGTGGGTGGCAGGCACTGGGGGTGGGAAGCAAGTGATGGGGGGGCACAGAGGGGCAAGGGGAAGATGGGACCATGTATGGCGGTCAAGCTCTTTGCCCTCTACCACTGTGTTCCCTGCTACAGCAATGGGGCAGAAGAATTTAAGATGACCTTCCACTAATTAGGTTATATGCATTGAAAATTATAACACATTTATAATTTTCCATCCATAAAATCTAATTACTGAGGGGGCCATCTAAAATTCAGTTGCCTTGGATTCAGGTAAATAATGGTACATAAATTGCAGATAAAAGGTAAAGTTTTCATTTGAAGTCCTTAAAGAATAGGTTAATTTAGCATGAAAATCTGCTGAAAACTTTTACAAGTCTCTTCCCCCCCCCCCCCAAAGAAAAAAAAAAAAAAAAAAAATAGTTACTTTCATTTTTTTTAAAAATGTAGATTTTGGGTGCTTCCCCTACCACAACAGATACAAAAAAAAAAAAATTCCCTCAAGAAAACCAATGTGTTCCATGGACATTCTAGGAGGGCTGTGTGAAGCTTTGGTTGCTGATTCAATTTGGCGCAGATTTGGCCTTATTCAGTGGCTGAATCTGCGAATCTGAATCAAATTAGGAGACCCTTTAATTTCTCCGAATTGAATCGGAACCCTCCAAGTTGATTAAGAAAGAGTCAGAAAAATTCAACGATTTGGACATAGACTCAGCTTTAAATGTTTTTACTACGTACCTCCAGGTACCAGGTGGTTTGTGAATGCTGAGATGGTGGGGCAGATGAAACATCCCACAGGAGCACGGGGGGTCCCCAGCATGCTTGGCAGCAGACACAAAAGTGGACCAGAAGCACTTCTGGTCCACTTCTGGGTCCACCAGGGAGCATGCGGGGGGCCCCCTACACCCCACTTGGCTCAGCAATTGGTGTCTCCTCAGTCTGTGGTCCCCCTGCATCCAATTGCCAAGCTGGGGCATATGTGTGCGGAGGGGGGAGGGAGCCGGGGGGACAACGTACTTGGCAGTGGACCTGGAAGTGGACTGGTCTGGGTTCTCTGCTGAGCATGCGGGGGGCCTCCGCACACTCCTGTGGGATGCTCCATCCGCCCCACCATCGCAGCTTTCACAAGCTGTGCCTGGTACCTCGAGGAATGTAGAAAAAACATTTAAATCTGTGTCTATGGCCGAATCGCTGATTCTCCAAATCAGCATCAGATCTTCAGATTTGGATTTGGCTGAATTCAATTGGGACAGTGATCCAAATCAATTAATAGAATTATTGTCCCCCGATTCAGGCTGAATCCAAATCTGAATCGAATAGGGCCCATTTTGCATACCCATACATTCTAGTATGTACTTACTGTTAGTCTAGGGTAAAGTACAAAAATTACATGGTGGTATGCAACAAATATCAGTTAAACGTATTTATAAAAAGTAGAACTGGAGCCTTTTAATAGTATTAACCCCATCTTTTCAAACCAGAGGTATTTGATTTTTCTTTTGTTTTAGTTTTACTTTACAATCATTTAAAAAATGAACTCAAAATTGAAGTGAAATATTTGTCTATTACATCCAAGTAGCTTGACTGAACTTTTAATAGGACATTCTGAAAAATCAAAATTGTGCTCCAATTTGAAATAATGGAAAGATTCAGGTGGAAAACATACTATTTATCACCAGGTTATCTATCAATCAATCTTATAATTTGACGACTTCTTTGAATTAGTATAAGTTTCTGATTGCCTAATATAAAACTGAAGAAATAGAAGCAATAAAAATTATCAAACTGTATACATTTCTATCTACCTGTTTGGGTTTCTTAATGTAGTCTCACAATTCAATGTTTCTATAACTTGGGTATGATTACTCAGGGTGGTATTCAACAGACTTCTACACGATATCTGAGAGGAGGGATGTGAAAGCAGAAGAAAGGAAAGGGAAGTACAAATAGAGGAAAAAGATAATGGAGAAAAAAAGTACATATTCTCAGTGTATTCAAAAGGTTATATTGCACTTGTGATATTTTGGTTTTCTATTGCACAGAAACATAGGGATACATGCTAATATAGCAACTTTAAAAAGTCACTCAATCACTGACCTGATTTCCTCAGGGTGCCAGATTGCCTCTTAAACATGGTTTTAAAGTCACCTCATTTCATATGTATTTATGAAAATATACACGTTAGACAAAACAAAAATTCCCATAAACCTATTTTTATAACATAAATATTTAAATGTTTGTCACAAATAAATCTGTAAACACCAGTTGTATTTTACAACCTCTGTAACTTTAGGAACAGCAGCATATAGAACGTCATATACCAAAGCCCTATGCTGTACATTTTTTTTCTCTCTCCCTGACACACATGCTTTCCATCCATGCCTCTCACACACACATGGGCACTCACATACCCATACAAAGTTTTATTTCTGTTTCTATATCTCTAATCTGGCATTGTTTTTGTGTCTGTCATAAGCAAAACTGTTGAATGATACAATGCAATATGAATTTATAATATGAGATACTTTGTTCAAGAAAAGTATGTAAAATGTTTTAGTAAGTATTAAACAGCAACTGCCATTGTGAATTTTAAAAACAGAAATAATCTATTCCATTTTTTTAAATTATTTTTTTATGCCACATAATAATGTTACACATATAATGCACCGCTACTGCTATGTTATATGACATAATGTTAAAAAGATAAAAATAAAACCTATACAATATAATGCTATATTATATTACAAATGATCCCACACTAACTAGCTGTAGTTGCTATGTCATGAAAATAGCTTACCTTTTGCCATATAAAATGTAGTATGTTTTCCTCCCATTCAATTCAGGATAGAAATATAAATGCAAATTATCTTCTTCAGCTGCATCAGCAACAGTGTGAGGTAAAAAAGAGAAAGGGAGATTTGTTTCAATTCATTTTAGCGTGACATACAACTTAAAGAACAAAAACATAGGGTTGGCCATTTTTGTTTCTTAACTTTGCAAAAAGTTATCAAATGGAAAAAAAATAAACATGAATATTTCACTCTTCTTCAATAGAGCAATGCTTTAGCTTAAATCCATGCACAATACCCTCATAAAGCTGGGACTATAAATAAATTCAAATACAAGCAGTCCTGGACTTACAATGTTTCAAGCTACAATGTTTTTCATTTACAACCTTTATAAATTGACACCATTTCAACTTTATGATGTCAGTTTTGACTTTACAACACTTAATCTGATGTGATGCCATACCAACAAACAGATTCACTGAATCACTCATCTCCCTGGAGAACATCTGTGCAAACTTCGTTGGACACTTTCTTTAAGAAAGCAGACAAGGCTCCAGAAAAACCTGCAGCCAAGGCCATTGAGAAGACTCCAGCCAGGAGCCCTTCAAAAAGTCTAACAAAACCACCTCAAAGAAGTCCTTCCAAATCAATGTGATTGCTATTTACAATACAAATACATTAATGTAGCTATATTATTCATCTATAATTGATCGAGTACAAAATTCTGGGGTATTTTTGGTGAAAATAGGGTATCGGGTCTTGGTTCAGGGACCAATCCCCCATTTATAACATTGTTTCTTATGAGAAAATTGGTTCTGAGTTGCAATGTTTCAACTTAAGGCATGGTTTTCAGGAACCAATTGTGTCGTAAGTCCAAGGACTGCCTGTATTACTAAAGACACATTCATTAAGTTGAAGCAAAATAGGAACAGGTAACGTTTCATAATAATTTGAATTAACATGCATGTATTGTGGTGGTGTTGAAGTTATGTTACTACCATGTGGTCCTGGAAATAAGCAAGAGGTAAGGATTTTTGTAGGTAATAGCTTTTATTGGATCAATCGCATGGTTGGGGTATGCATACATACATTATTATTATCTGTCATTGAAGTTAACAGTTTTTCCTCAAAAAGGATTAAACAAAATAAAAGGGTTTGGCTCTCTGATTTACTTGCCTATATTACATACTCATCTGTAGAAACTAGCAGTATCAAGGTAGGGGAAACTATCCTGAAGGATGTATCAACATTTAGGAGTGGCATTGTGATCCCAACAAAAAAACCCAAACAATTCCAGAAAGGCATTAAAAACCTAAAAATAGGTAGTTGAAGTTTTAAACC